GTCTTTAAAAGGTTTTTGCTTATACTATCGTACATAATAAAATCCAATAAGATACAGCCTATTTAGACCATTGGAGACAGAAGGACAAAAGCTAGATGAGACTTCAAAACAAGATGATACTAAATCTGTATTACCTATTAAGATGTCATTTTCTCCAAAATAGCTGTTCCTATCATCCAATCTTCTCTGCCTCATTTCTGTTAAGCTCTTTTTCTGTCCGTAGCTGTCAGTTTGTCTTCTTCATTTTGTTCTCTGCTCCATTCGTTGTGGCCTCTCTGCCATTATTTCTGGATTCTTTGTATTTTTCTTTTTTTAGAATATCCTGCAATACTCTCTGTAGAGTTGAATTGGTGGTTGCAAATTCCCCCAGTTCCTCTTTATCCTGGAAGCACCTTGTTTTTCCATCAATTTCCAGGGACAGTTGTGCAGGATATCTCAATCTTGGCTGGAGATTATTATCTTTCAATGCTTGAATTATTTCCCCCCACGCTCTTCGTGATTTGATGGTTTGTGCAGAGAAATCTGCTGTAATTCTGATGGGTGTTCCCTTGTAGGTGGTCTGTTTCTTGTCTCTTACAGCTTTTAATATTCTGTTCTTGTATTGAATTTCTGGAATTTTTATTATTATATGCCTGGGTGTTGCTCTGTTTGGGTTGTAGGTAGCTGGGGTCCTGTATGCCTCATACATCTGAGTATCTTTACCTTTTGCTAAATTAGGAAAATTCTCCTGGATTATTTCTGTGAGTAGCTTTTGTAGTTCACTTGTTTGTGTCCCTACTTCTTCTTTTATGTTCTTAATCCTTAAGTTATGGATCCTCTTATCATCTTCTTGTCTTTGTATTATTGCTGTTTGTTTCTTTGTTATTTTTAAGAAGTTTTTCATTTCATTCTCCCATATTACAAGTCTGCCCTCCAGTTCAGATAGTCTGTCCTTAGTTTCTTTCAAGCTGTTATGCCAGTCTTCTATAGACTTCTTAGTATCTTGGTAGTCCCTTTGAACCTGCTTCACGTATTCTATGCTTTCTCTGTTTTCTCCATCAAACAATTCTCCCCTTTTTTTCTGTTCTTCCATTCCACCACCTGTTTTTTCTTGGGTGGTACTTAGCATTTCTCTAACTATTCTGCATACTTCTAGCTTCAGGTCGTTGATAACTTCATTCCTGAATTGGTCTATGAGGCTCTCTATATGGTGCCTTATGTGTATTGGTGTGGTGTCTGCTATTGCCTGTTTCTCAGAATTGGGGGCTGAGGAGCCTTTCTTGTTGCTGCCTCTTCCCATGCTGCCTCTTCTTCTCTGTTCCTTATATATGCAAGCTTATATAAGAGGCCCAGCTTCTCTCCCAGTCAGCCACAGCCTGATCGAATTGCGCCAGTTAGTTGTTCCCGCTCACCGCTGTGCACCAGGGAGTTACGGACCAGGCAGCCTACGCGTCTCCCCTCCCGGCTCTGGGATCTGGGTTGGGACAGGTCTCCCCTCCCGGCTCTGGGATCTGGGTTGGGACAGTCTACCAGGTCCGCCGGCAGCATCATGCAGGCCAGGCACTTTTCACCAATCCCGCCCGAGAGGGGGATGTGTGGCTGGAGTCCCACCGTGCCCTGCTCCCGCAGGACTGCCCGGGCCCAGAAAGTCCTCTGCTGGAGTCAAACTGTGGTAGAGTGTCAGTTTCTCTCACTCACCTCACCACAAGTCAGTGCACACCTCCCTGCCGTTCGCAGATTGCCGTTCTCAGAGCTTCCGCGCGTCTCTCTCCTTGCCGAGCCGCTGTAGAGGCAGCCAGCCGCCGCGCGACGGGAAACCCAAATCGTGGCTTACAATGGCGCGGTTCTAGCCTCCACACCAAGTCTTTTCTGTTCCTGTTTTAGCACCAGGACTGCATTCCAAGTTGGCTTCTCTCAGCCCAGTTCGTTCCTGAGTCAGCAGAGCATATCTCCACCGACTTATGTCTCCTTAGTCCGCACCATTCCTGGCTTCTGAGCCGAGTCTTTCAGAGAGCCTCCGGTAGTTGCTGTTATCTGTCCGCCATGTTCTCCCGGAAGTCCTACAATAGTATATCTTGTTATCTTCACAATAGTTGTCCATTCCATCAGGCATAGTAAAATCAAACCAAAAACATAACAGAATAAAACCAATCAAAACAGAATATTGAAGAAAGCAAAACAATCACAACAAAGCAAAACAGTGAGAACAATATTAGGTTTAAAACACAAGATAGAGGGGCTGGGGATTTAGCTCAGTGGCGTAAGCGCCTGCCTTCCAAGCAGGCAGTCATGAGTTCGATCCCCGGTACCGATAAAAACGAAAGACAAAAAAATTAAAAAAAAAAAAAACACAAGATAGAAGGAAATCTCTAATATTTGCTATATTTCACACTATCATCCTCCCAAGAGATGCTTAGAGTGCTGACCCCAGGCCTGCACAATCAACCAGACAATACAAGCATTTAGTTGCTTTATGTATCTTAGTTCCTATCAACTCAGCCAGTCCTCCAAACCAGCAGGTTGCTTATGGGGTTTAGGGGGTGATGGGTGGGGATGTGTTTGATTCTTAGCCTATGTAGGCTCACTGGAGGCGCCATGTGACCTTTCTCTTCCTGGAACCTGTGGTTTGCACCGTTTACCAGAAAGACTATGTGACATATTGTTGGGTCTTCCCAGAATCCAGTGGACTTTCCTTAATCCCAGCATCACAAACTCAATCCCAGGATCATGCACCCTAGATACAGCCACCTCCAAAAAGCCCCACCTAAGACTGCCTGAGGCTTTTGGGGGACATCTAGCTATAAGCTGTAACAAGATTCATTATAGTACTAATATGGAAAAATTAAAAAGAAATTTTTTTTTATTGGTACAGGGATGGAACTCACGACTGCCTGTTTGCAAGGCAGGCACTTATGCCTCTGAGCAAAATCCCAGCCCCTAAAAAAGAAATTTTAAACTATACTTCAAAAGACAGTGTCAAGAGAATGAGAACACAAACTTAAGCCACAAACTGGGGAAAATATTTGGTTGTTTTTTTTTTTTTTTTTTTTTGTCTTTTTCATTTTTATCAGTACCGGGGATCGAACTCACGACCACCTGCTTACAAGGCAGGTGCTTATGCCACTGAGCTAAACCCCCAGCCCCTGAAAATATTTGCAAAACACATCTAATACAGGATCGCTATGCAAAATACAAATAAACAGCAATAATAAAATTAACATTAACATCTTGGATAGAACTTGAACAAAAAAATCTACACAGACATCTCATCAACTAAAACGACAGATGGCTGACAAGCATATGAAAAGGTGATCAACTTCATGTGTCACTAATTCATTGCAAATTAAAATAACAGATACACTATCTTCATACCAGAATGGCCCCGATCCCAACACCGACACCGCTGAATGCTGATGAAAACTTGAGCCAACAGGAACTCTCATTCATTTCTGACTGGAATGAAAAATAGTGTAGCCACTTTGGAAGATAGTTTGGCAATTTCTTACAAAGCTAATATTCTTCTCTGCATGGGACAGTCACTCTTTGGTAAATGAATCCAGTGGTTGCCAAGCATTGGGGAAGGCAGGAATGAATAAGCATAGCATGGAGAATTTTTAGGACAGTGAAATTATATGATAGCACAGTGGTAGATACAGGTCTTCAAACATTTGCCCAGATGCAGAATGTTCAGTACTCAGAGTAAACAGGGAGGTAATCTATAGACTTTGAGTGGTGATGAATCTATATAGGTTCATTGATTATAATAAATATACCACTGTGGGGGAGGATGTTTATATCAGGAGATGCTTACAGAGGAAGAAGTGAGAATGTGATAACTCAATATATTTTCCTCTCAGGTTTGCTGTGAATGTAAAACTTCTCAAAAAAATTTACTAAAATAAAAAAGCCAAGTGTGGTGGCATATGCCTGTAATCCCAGAACTCAGGATGCTGAGGCAGGAGGATTGTTGTGAGTTCAAGAACAGCCTGAACTGCATAGTGAGCCCTTGTCTCAAAAAGACAAAAAAAAGTAAACAAGTAAATAAAAATCATAGTACTTGGGCTGGGGATTTAGCTCAGTAGTGTAAACGCCTGCCTGGCAAGTTTATGAGTCTGAACCTCAGTACCAAAAAACCAAAACAAAACAACAATAACAAAAAAAGCAAAGTAGTCAATAAAGCATATGTTATCCCGTACAAATATATTATTTTATATATTTCATATATTATGTACTTGAGATATGATCAAAAATATTGTGAGATATGATCAAAAACTATAGTGAATGTTTAAATTTTTAAAAATTTATTACAGTAAAAGACATATTGTCATTACAGCCCTTCAAGATACTTCCCCTCGCTTCAAACGCATTTATCCCATCATTCTTGCCACTGTCTGAAGCAGTTCTGAAGTCCTCTTTCCCGAGTGTGTTTCATTGCACTGTCACAACTGCCTCAATGTTCTGAATTCACCTTTCATGGACATTTTGACTTTGGGCAATAGCCAGAATTGACATGGCACCAGATTTAGTGAATGAGCTGGTTGGGGCACACTGTAACGTTTTTATAAGCCTACCTTTCCATTGGGTGGCACTTGGCATCATCTCCACTGGATTTTTGCTCACCCCTTGTAAAGACAGTCAAGTCTGCAGCATTTTAACTTTTGACAGCAGACCTATTCACTTATGTAAGAAAGGCAAAAGGAGCTGCTGCTGGACTTCTGTCTCTGGGTCTTTCTTTAAAGGCTACATCAGAAGTTCATGCTGTCCAGAAATTTTCAAGTACAGAGTTGTAGCATTTATAACATGTTTACTCATTTGAGAAGTACTTTTCGAGTGGCTCCCTTGTGCTGGACATTCTGTTGGAGTGAATGAGAAACTGCCCGCATGGTCCCAGTTCAGGGTGTAGGGGGAGCCCTGGGGTAGGGAGTGAAGGGTAGGAGGTAGGCTTTTCCCAAGTGTGTGTTCGCACAGGCTGAAAAGTCCAGCACTGTTTGGAAAAGCTGACCATGGTTCCTTTTTCTCAGAGAAGCCATGCGGAGACCCACCTGCGTTTCCACACACCATCCTGCAGGGCCGCACTGGCCTGGATATGGGGGACGAGCTGCTATACGTGTGTGCCCCGGGGTCTGTCGCAGGCCACCAAGAAACAGCCTTCACCTTGCTGTGTAACAGCTGCGGCGAATGGTATGGCCTGGTGCAGGCCTGCGGGAAAGGTAAGCAAGTGCCCTGCGGCTGGAGCACCCCCTGGCAATCACAGAGCCTGCACAGAGCTAGCAAGTGCCCTGCTGCAGCCTGCTGTGGGTGGTGCCTTTGTAAACAGGCTTTCAGCCTTCCAGCCGAGTGCTGGATCTAGCAACATCTCCAACTTGGCAGTCTCTGCTGCATTTCAGAAGCAGTGTATGTACAGCTGAGCTCATCTTCCCTGCCAGGGGTAAGTGGTGACCCCTAATTTTCTTCTTTTCTTGGGAAACTGGCGCAGTGGGAACATCACCTGGGGTATCCAGTTGTTCTGATAAAAATAACCTTTGAATGGTAAACTGGGCTGTAATGAATACAGTAAAGGAAAGGGGACTTCCCTGAGTGTGGTGATTCTTATGTCTGCGTGCGACCCATGTAGGGACACCATGAGCAATGCTATGGGTTGTCACCAGAAATATAGGCCTTTGGAGACTTCTAAACAATTGATCAGACTCTCCCAGGCAAGTGTTTTTCCTTACTCCTAGCAGTCAGTTGTAGGGGGCTGGAGGATGGAAGAGCCTAACTCCAGGACAGCTATGAAGTCTGCTGTGAGGAATGTCCCACCAATGACAGCCACCTATTCTGCCTGCCCCCTTGCCTACTCCAGGTCTAGGAACCTTCTGGGTGTCAGGGGTGTCCCATAAAGTCTCAATATTTAACTGAGATTGTAAAGAGTCCTAGTAGACACTAACTGATCAAAACACCTGATCTGACTTTCCCAGAAGTCCTATTTCCACCATCACAGGGTACCTCACAGGGGACAGTTGCGGCAGAGGTAATGAGATAGTGGGCAAGACTGAAAAGCAAAGTCCAGCAGGTGACATTTTAGAGAAAGTGTTGAGATGGAAGCAGTCGGCAAATGTGGAGGCTGCTGAAATCAAGCAAATGAAAACTAAGCGGTGTGCATGGCCTCAGCATGAAGGAGGTTCTGGCAGTCTCTATTTTCAGTGTGTGCTGCGAGTGGAAGATACCCCCGGCCAGGCAGGATTGACACGGAAGTGGGGAGGCTGAAGGCAGAGGCCCAAGGCCACGGGACTCATTCTTGAATCTCTGCTGCTGTGAAGAGGACTGGGGAGCACAAAAGGGTACAACTGGAAGAAGATTTGGTGTCCAGCAAACTTGCCAGGGCTGGTTTTATTTGTCTGCTTGCTTTTATTATTTTTGAGATGATTTCTTTTTGAAGAGAGTTCAGCTTATTTAAATGGTGATGGAAAGGATCAGAAGACAAGGGAAGAGTGAACAGTTCTCTTGACTTCCTTGAGACTTAATTTGTTCCTATGAGAAAATAAATACTATTGCATGTCTAAACATGGGGTTCCTGCGTTTTTAGTCTCAAGAGGGTAAGACTTGTTTTATCTGCCATTTTCTCCCTCTCTCTGTGTGGGTATTTCTTGAGCTATTTTCCTTAAGGGTCCTGGCCTAGGTCTGGCCATTTAATCTGTCCAAACCCACACATCTTGTTTTTTGTTTTTTTTTTAATTTTATTTAAAGAAAGACTAAATGAAACAGAAAATAGGTAGAAATACTACACAAATTCAGAGAAAAAAATAAACAGTAAGAAATCACTAATTGATGTTTACATATTGTCATTTTACAAATAGTTGTTCAAGATACAAAAATGGAACATGTAAAGTGGGAATTCAAACAGTGAGACCGCAAAAAGTTCTCTTCAACTGTATCTTCATATTATGCTGAGATTGAATAAACCCACGCAGGCTAATATCACTCTGAACAAAGAATAATGGGTTTCACATTATGACACTCCAGGATCAGCACTGGGTATTTTAGTGTCTCTTTTTCTTCAAAGTATCTGTTCATTTCATCAAGTGTCATATGCTCAGTTCTCATAAACTGTTTATAGGTTCTACACATGCATGAGTCTTAACATGTATTTCTATCCTTTCTATATTAGAGGGAGAAACAAAACAAAGCAAGACAAAACAAAACATATTCCTATAAACATATGAAATGAAAAAAACATATAAGACCGTTGTACAAAGAGTACTACCATGGTTCCTGTGTTGTCTCTTGTTATCTCCAATAGAATTGGCTGTATCATCAGACATAGTATAATTGAATATATCAATACATAACAGTATTAATAAAAACACAACTTTGTGTATAGTATAGAACTTTAAAAACCGGAAGTTATCAAAACAGAATGTGTATTGTAGAATCTTGTCATCTTCAGTGTAGTTGCCTATAGTCTCAGACTTGATACTATCAATCATATCAGTTTTGAATAAAATCTTCTCTGCCTCATTTCTGTTATGCTTTTTTTTTTTGTCATCAGTTGTCTGCTTATCTTCTTCTTCTTTTTTTTTTTTTTTTTTTTTTGGTCTTTTTCCTTTTTATCGGTACCGGGGATCGAACTCATGACTGCCTGCTTGCAAGGCAGGTGCTTATGCCACTGAGCTAAATCCCCAGCCCCAATCTTCTTCAATCTGTTTTCCTCTCCATTCACTGAGGCCTCTCTGCCACTGTTCCTGGAATCCTCGTACTTTCCTCTCTCTCTAGGATGCCCTGGAGTATTTTCTGTAGAATTAGATTGAGGGTTGCAAATTTCCCAAGTTCCTTTTTGTCTTGGAAGCATCTTGTTTCTCCATTAATTTCTAGATACAGTTTATCAGGGTATATCAATCTGGGATGGAGGTTATTTTTCTTTCAGGGCTTGGAATATTTCGCTCCAGGCTCTTCTTGACTTGATGGTTTGTGTTGAGAATTCTGCCGTTATTCTGATGGGCCTTCCTTTATAGGTTATCTGTTTCTTATCTCTAACAGCTTTTAATGTTCTTTCTTATATTGAATTTCTGGGATCTTGATTATTATATGCCTTGGTGTAGCTCTCTTTTGGTTGTAGGTGGCTGGAGTTCTGTATGCCTCATATATCAGAATATCATTTCCTTTTCCTATGTTTGGGAAGTTTTCCTTAATTATTTCTGTGAATAACCTTTATGTTCCATTGTTTGTACCCCAGCTTCTTCATTCACATTCTTTATTCTTAAGTTATAGATCCTTTTGTCGTCTTCTAACCTTTGTATTGTTACTGCTTGTTTCCTTGTTATTTTAAAAAAGTTTTCCCTTTTATACTCCCACATTGCAAAATTGTCCTCCAGTTTGGATAATCTATCCTTAGTTTCTTTCAAGCTGATTTGCCATCTTTCCATAGAGTTTTTAATTTCCTGGTGATCTCTTTGAATCTGCTTCAAGTATTCTATATTTTTTTATATTCTTCACCAAGTGGTTCTCTCCTTTGTTTGAGTGCCTCCCTTCTTCTGTGTCTGCTTGAGGGGTGCTTAGTATCTCTTTTATTAATCTTCTTATATCTTGCTTTATTTGGCTAAATATTTCACGTTTGAACTCATCTATGAGGTCCCGAAGATATCTCTTTATGTCCACTGGTGCTGTGTCTGATATTGCATGTCTGCTGTTCTCATTCTCCTTTGTATTTACCTGTCCTGGGTCAATGTTTTCAGGGTTGGGGCCTGGGGAAGTTTTGTTGTTGCTTCCTCTTCCCATCTTTTTTGCTTCTTCCAGGAGGCCCCAGTTTCTTTCTTGTTGGTTACAATTCTTCTGAAGTGTGCTGGCTAGATGACCCTTCACACTACTGTGTGCTAGTGAGTTGCAGACAGGGACAGTGTATCAGTGGATCAGTCAAGCTGCTGTGGCCTGCTCTATATCACCTTATGCTGCCTCCCCTCCAGACCAGCCAAATCTCTGAGGCCCCACTGGGTCCGTGTGTTTAGTGTGTGCCACAACTGCAGGGACTTGACCTCGAATAACCTATTGGGTCTCAGCCAGGTCACATGACCCAGGCCTAGCTCACTCCACCAATACTGTTCAGGAAGGGAACAACTGACTGAAGTCACTGCTGCCCCTTGTACTTGCCAGTCCTGCCAGGTCCCAGAATGTTGTCCGCTGGATCCCCCCTATTTATGGAATGGCTCCACTCCCGTCACTCACCACAGGTTGATGTAGGCACCCTGCCAACTGAGCCCTCTGTTCGGCTTGCTGATCCCCGAACTCAATGTAACTGTGCCTCCAGTGAGTCGAAGCAGTGGGACCTCGTCAAGTCACGGTGGGACCCCGGCAAGTCGCGGTGGGACCTGGGATGATCAGCACGTTGCCATAATTTCTTCTTGGGATGAGAGAATTCATCTCCCTCTGTTTGGGGCTTCCCACTCTGTATTATGTTGAATTCTAAGTTGACTATCTCTGGGAGCCTCTGTAGCCAGTTGTTATCTATCTGCCATCTTTGCTCCTCCCCCTACACATCTTGGTTTTTGCTTGCATCTTGGCAGTAGGAACTCTCTGGAATAAGTCTAAAAAGTACCCTGTGATAGGGTTTTTGGCATGTTAAAGGGAGACTATAAAGTAAAAAATGGCCTTTATTCTAAGAACACGGAGAGAATTCCATGACTACCAGGGCCTGGCTTTCTCTGCTGGAAACATGGGCTGGGGGACATACATATAGTTTTTAACTGGGGTAGTGCTTAGGGTAACATTGCTGATGAGAGAGAGCAGCTGATTGGGACTTTTTTCATGCCACAGGTAAGTCCTGCCTCCTTGGTCCCATTTCCCACTGCCATAGTATTGTATCTAGAGCAAAATCCTTTCACCCTGTATCTAACTATAATTGATCATAGCCCTAATTACAAGAAAATCATGATGCTTTGTTCCATGCTAGCTCTGGTTTCTTTAGGCTTCTTATTCCAAAGTGCCATATCCATTTTCAAGACCATGTTTTCTCCTTAGCCACTGGCACTCTCAGAAGAGTTCCTGCCTTGGCTACAGGGTCCCAATGTCAGCCTTCCTCTGGCAACTGTGTGGCTCACATGGTGTACTGACCACTCCCTGGGTGACTTCAGCACTTCTGCTCTCTGTTGCAGCCCCTGTTGCTGTGCTTGGAGTGGGACAGAACTGTTGTGGCCAAGAGAACCTTGAGACAGATGACCTAGGTGTGAGACTCAGAGAC